TTGTGCTCATGAAGATGGTCATGCATAGGTTTCGTACCTAAGCTAATGTTGGCTCAGATATCCATCGGTTTTTAGGGGCAATTCAAGCTAGTGTCGAGTTATACATACTGCTAATCCATGGATTGGTTTGTGCTCATGAAGATGATGGTCATGCATAGGTTTCGTACCTAAGCTAATGTTGGCTCAGATATCCATCGGTTTTTAGTTAGAGTCCAAGAAGCAAGTGATTGTTACCGCTTCCTGTATTACAAGCACTTCGTCTTCCGCATATGAGAGTCTTAAGAGATGTAGGTGCTTTAGAAGGTGGGGATTGCAAGAATTGAAATTGTATTGAATTACAAATCTACTTTTGAAATTCTAATCTCAGGTGAAAATCTCACATTAATCTGTCTTCGAAGTTGGCTAGCTTGTGTCCTTATAAGGAATCTATTCTTTACCGTGGTTCCTCCATGTGGTTTCTTTATCAGCCCAAACCCATGTACCTCAAAGCAAGGTTATTGGTTTTCAGTCTTTTAATATCATTATCCTCAAGGACAGGGCAGACATGTTCGGCTGAAGGTGGACCATGATGAGAACCTTTTCCTCGGTGTAGGGCAGGCCCCCAAGAGTAACTGGGGTCCCTTGGGACATTATTTTGGAGGCCGGTCTGGTGGGTACGCCACCTGAGGGGGCCTCCAGATGGCAGGATTCCAGCTGCATGCTCAGGTAGATGATCTCTTCAAGGATCTGTGGCCAAGTTCCAAGCAGAGCTAAACTGGAGTAGGATGGGGGCTGGACAGGCAGGCTGGGAAGGGGGTGGGCTGCAGGTGCCCGGGACTCCCCTCAGCTCAGAGACACTCTCTCTGTGAGGGCAGGAGTCATCTCAGACATCACCTCCTTCTACAAGGGGACTTCAGAAAGGTTGTAGAAAAATAGACTTAAGAGATAATATAAATCTGCCCACAAACTTTTTGAAGTGCCCTTATATTAGTTATCTGGTGGCACATAGCAAAAATCCACAAACGTAGCAGTTTAGAATAACACACATTTATGATATCACGGTGTCTGTGTTCACGAGTCTGGGCAAAGCCTAGCTGGGTCCTTTGCTCAGGTATCACCAAGTTACAGTCAAGGTATCCACCAGACTGGGGTCTTTCTGCAGCTCAGGGTCCTCTTCTGAGCTCACACGTTGTTGGCAGAATTCAGTTCCCTGCGGATTTAGGACTGAGGTCCCATGTTCCTGCTGGCTGTCAGCTGGGGGCTGTTTTCGGCTCTTTGAGGCTACGTGGCCCCCTCACAGTCCTCTCACACACAGCAGCTTGCTTTCTCCAGGACAACAAGAGACTCTAACTTGTAGAATCAAGAGAACCTCTTTTAAAGGGCTTATCTAAGTAGGGCAGGCCCACCCAGTATAATCTGTTTTTTTTATTAACTCAAAAGTAGCAGATGAGAGATCTTAATTATTTTTGCAACTTCTCTTTGCCATATAATGTAATGTAATCACAGGAGTGACATCCATTATATTCACAGTTCCACGCACACAGAGGAGAGGGTTATACAGGGCTTGTACACCAGGGGACCATCCTAGAATTCTGCCAACCACATTCCCTTTCTCCCTCTGTCCACCGCTGGTGGCCCTTCCTTCTTCCAGCCCTTGTTTGCTACAGTTTCATTCTTCTCCCGTTTTTCCCCCATAACCTCCCTTCTCTTTTCCCAATCCCCCCTCTCTGCTCCTCCCCCTTTGCTACAGTTTCATTCTTCTGCTCCCGTTTTTCCCCCATAACCTCCCTTCTCTTTTCCCAATCCCCCCTCTCTGCTCCTCCCCTGAGCTGATGGGTTAAGGCTGCTGTGAAAACTCTTGCCTGGTCTAACTAAGAGACCAAGCCAGCTGCACGGAGCCCCAAGGCTCCCCCAGGAAGGGCTGGGAAGGTGACTGCACCTGGTGTGAACTGGTCTGCTCATCCGTGGGACTGTAGGAGCTGAGTATGGCTGGATGTCAAAGTCAAAGGAGCCTTACCTCCCTTACCCCTCCAGCTTTGCCAGATCTTTTTATAGACCTGAGAGGCCCTTCCCACAGTGTAACATGGTCTTGGAAATTGAAAATGGCAAAGAAGTATCGAAATTCTGGTGCAGTTGTGATTTTTGACACCCCTTGATTTGAAAGACATGGGGTTGATTTGATGAAGGAGCCTCGTGAATGAACCAAGTTATAGAGTGCATTCCTTATGAGGACACAAGCCAACCTCAAAGACAGATCAACTACGGCAATTTTCACCATTGGTTAGAATTTAGAAGGCAGATAAAGTTGTAATACAAGTATGGGTGGTGGAGGGCACTGAGGAGGGTGCCCTTGGGGACCACACCGGCTTTCCGGACAGCTTTAGTTTTAAGATTATTTAGGAAACAGTGAGACGTCTGAAAATTGTGTTTATGGAACTGTTGGAAGAATTACAGGTGTATTCCCAAAACTTCTGTGGAAAGCAGGTGGGATTTACTTAACACCAGAAAACCTGAGCTCTGAAATACTTGTGCCCTTTCCCTTATTGGGCTGTTGTATCACATGAAATGATGAATAAACATGAGATTTGTACAACGTGAAACGGTGTTCAAATGCCAGGTTTGACAGCGTTGGTTGGCCCTAGGCAAGCATTTTAAATGCTCTCAAGTAGAATATGGCAAAACAGTGACAAGTTGAAAGAGTTAACAGAGGCAGATTTTTCCTATAACAGAAGGAAGGACTCTAACAGCTGAAACCATTCTGCTCTGATCTTTGTGGTCTTGAGAAAAGATGCGCTCCCCAGCCCTGCAGGGCTGAAGGGGAAGCTGAGGGCAGCAGAGTGTGCTACGAAGTCCTGGAGAATGGGGTCAGAGTCCCAGCTCCACGCCAGCCAGCCCTGTGACCTTGGAAGGGTCTGGCAGCCTCTCCAGGCCTCCACTTCCTGCTCTGTAAAGGGAGGGGTTGAACTGGGGACTCTGCTCTGTGTGTCTTNGTTTGCTACAGTTTCATTCTTCTCCCGTTTTTCCCCCATAACCTCCCTTCTCTTTTCCCAATCCCCCCTCTCTGCTCCTCCCCTGAGCTGATGGGTTAAGGCTGCTGTGAAAACTCTTGCCTGGTCTAACTAAGAGACCAAGCCAGCTGCACGGAGCCCCAAGGCTCCCCCAGGAAGGGCTGGGAAGGTGACTGCACCTGGTGTGAACTGGTCTGCTCATCCGTGGGACTGTAGGAGCTGAGTATGGCTGGATGTCAAAGTCAAAGGAGCCTTACCTCCCTTACCCCTCCAGCTTTGCCAGATCTTTTTATAGACCTGAGAGGCCCTTCCCACAGTGTAACATGGTCTTGGAAATTGAAAATGGCAAAGAAGTATCGAAATTCTGGTGCAGTTGTGATTTTTGACACCCCTTGATTTGAAAGACATGGGGTTGATTTGATGAAGGAGCCTCGTGAATGAACCAAGTTATAGAGTGCATTCCTTATGAGGACACAAGCCAACCTCAAAGACAGATCAACTACGGCAATTTTCACCATTGGTTAGAATTTAGAAGGCAGATAAAGTTGTAATACAAGTATGGGTGGTGGAGGGCACTGAGGAGGGTGCCCTTGGGGACCACACCGGCTTTCCGGACAGCTTTAGTTTTAAGATTATTTAGGAAACAGTGAGACGTCTGAAAATTGTGTTTATGGAACTGTTGGAAGAATTACAGGTGTATTCCCAAAACTTCTGTGGAAAGCAGGTGGGATTTACTTAACACCAGAAAACCTGAGCTCTGAAATACTTGTGCCCTTTCCCTTATTGGGCTGTTGTATCACATGAAATGATGAATAAACATGAGATTTGTACAACGTGAAACGGTGTTCAAATGCCAGGTTTGACAGCGTTGGTTGGCCCTAGGCAAGCATTTTAAATGCTCTCAAGTAGAATATGGCAAAACAGTGACAAGTTGAAAGAGTTAACAGAGGCAGATTTTTCCTATAACAGAAGGAAGGACTCTAACAGCTGAAACCATTCTGCTCTGATCTTTGTGGTCTTGAGAAAAGATGCGCTCCCCAGCCCTGCAGGGCTGAAGGGGAAGCTGAGGGCAGCAGAGTGTGCTAGGAAGTCCTGGAGAATGGGGTCAGAGTCCCAGCTCCACGCCAGCCAGCCCTGTGACCTTGGAAGGGTCTGGCAGCCTCTCCAAGCCTCCACTTCCTGCTCTGTAAAGGGAGGGGTTGAACTGGGGACTCTGCTCTGTGTGTCTTTCATTGCTCCAGAGGGAGAGTGCCCAGCCCTGCCACTTTTAGGCTGTGTGACCTTGGGCAAGTTACTTGCCCTCTCTTTGCCTTGGTTCCTTCATGTATAAAGTGGGGATGGGAGCAGTATCCACCTAGTAAGGCTGATGCAAGGGGTGTGTGGCATAAGATATATAAAGTGCTTAGAATCCGGCTCACCTGACATTTAGTAAGGGCTCAGTCAATAAATGATGGCAATAACCATTACCATACTACAAGTTGAGTATCTCTTATCCAAAATGCATGGGACCAGAAGTGTTTCAGATTTCAGATTTTTTCAGATTTTGGAATATTTGCTTATACATAATGAGCTATCCTGGGGATGCGAATCAAGCCTAAACACAAAATCGGCTTATGTTTCATATGCACCTTACACACGTAGCCTGAAGGTAGTTTTATACAATATTTTTAATAATTTTGTGCCTGAAACACATGATCTNGTAGCCTGAAGGTAGTTTTATACAATATTTTTAATAATTTTGTGCCTGAAACACATGATCTGTCACATGAGGTCAAGTGTGGAATTTTCCACTTTGGCGTCCTGTTGGTGCTCAAAAAGTTTCGAATTTTGAAGCATTTCAGATTTTTGGATTAGGGATGATCACCCTGTGTTACTGTCAGTCCTGACGACCCTTTTAACTTGTACAGGTCTGTGATTCATTGCTGTGTGTTTTCTAAACTCTGAACCAGATCTTCCTTCACTCTGAAGGGCTGGCTGGTCTGTGCTCTAACATGGTCTCCCGCTCTGTTTCAGGCGGAGGCCAGGCTTGCGGCGAAGCGGGCGGCCCGCGCCGAGGCCCGCGAGATCCGGATGAAGGAGCTGGAGCGGCAGCAGAAGGAGGTAACGCTCGGGGTTCTTCGTCAGCTCTTTGTCGATCCTTTTCACTGTAATGTTCATTTTCGGCACAGCCTGCAAATGCGGGGCACCTGCTGCTGCCGGCGCACCTGTGCACTTCACGTTGCCCCGGCTGGAATGCGTTTGCTCCTAGGACTGTGACTCGAGGTCATGCCAGGAGTGCACCCAGCCCGCATGCCAGGCATGCCCGCGCCAGGTGCTCCACCTTTGGGATCCTGCGTGACCTTCACGGCCCAGCTTTCTGGCTGAGAAGAGCCGGGAGGTGTCGGGTCTGAACTCAAGGTCTGACTGTTGAATTAGAATCAGATCCTCCAAATTAAAAAGGGAAAGAATAGATTAATCTTTTTCTAAACTGACTAAATTGTTTTTTAAAAATCTCCTGGTTTTTACAGTGTTGAGTAGGTTTCAGGATACCTGAAGGCCTGCATGTGATACAGAGAACAGAATGAACTTCCTGGAAGAAATCGTCCCCTGGGAAAATGGGTAGTAATGTATTCACACACTTGTTCATGCTGTTTGCTTCTTATTTCCATAATCTTGACCCGGAGCCAGAGTCATTTCTGACAGGTGAGGGCTCTTTAACTCTCAGTTAGGGTGGTGACCTTTTCCTTACCCTGGAAGGCATCTGGACCAAGAGGGACCATCCACGCCCCCACCCCCACCCCCTCCAAGGGCTTTTCTTAAGATTTGAACTTATCGTGTTGAACAGAGATACCCATCTGCCTTCATCAGGGCTGATTTTCATACACAAAGGTTCCAGTTTGACTTGCATAGCCAGATTTAAAAAGTTGAGCCAATTTCAGATAAAAATCTGGAATTCCAGTTTTTCTTAAGACTATTGCAGGTTCTATTACATTCCCAAAAAGGAGCAAGGCGGTCACATTCCCTGTAGGGGTGAGGCCCCAGCCACCAACCCGAGGTGCTCACTGCCCTTCCCTGCCTACAGAGTTTGCCACTCCACGTGGAAATGTGTGAGCAGAGGAGGGCGCTTGGCCAGGTTTGAATTTTGGGAAGAAAACTCTTCCACATGGTATGAAGAATGGGTTGAAGGTTACTAAAAACTCCAGTCTGAGGCTACTCAGGAGAGTCATGGCACAGTCCCAATGGGAGGGGAGGTGGGGACCACCAAGGCAGTCCCAGCAGTGAGGTGACAGGAGGGGACATTGTTCCTTAGAGAAAGGCCACACCACAGTCCAGCAGTTGCTGAGCAAGTAGGAGCTTCAGCTGCCTTCCAGGTATCACTTGTCCTGCGTTTACATGTGAATAAAGACTAACNGGAGCTTCAGCTGCCTTCCAGGTATCACTTGTCCTGCGTTTACATGTGAATAAAGACTAACCAAGTATTTGGAAGTATCTCACCATGTCCTCCCTTATTGTTGTAAATTCAGATACAATTGTAAATAAGTTCTAGTTTTTATGATGTTTTAGTTCTAGAATTTAGTATTTATTTATTGTTCTTTTTCCTTAATTTACTGAAAGAAGCACAGGGCTAGCTAGCATTTTTCCAGTACATTCCCCCCGACCCTCAAATCCCCCTAGAATCACATTTGTCATTTTAAAATTGGAAAATAGATACTCCTGAATTTTCATGTTAATTGTTTAGACTTTACAATTGAACTGAAGCTTTATAATGCTGGATGTTTAACATGAAGCACCTCCCCTCCCTCATCCTCTCCATTAAGAGTGAGGTTTGGGTCTCGTCGGGATTGGATCTGATTAATACCTGTCCATACACTCCAGGAGTGATTATTGAAGTCTGCTCGGGAAGCTGTTCAGGAAGATCCCCAGAGAGAAGTATTTGGACTGGGATGTGGAGAAAAGGAAAACATCTTGTTTTGTAGGCCCCTGTCACATAACTCCTGAAACAATGTCACCCATGCCTTGGGAACTGTCCTGACACCAAGCAGCTTCTGCACACTCAAACTCTGCAGGCCACCTAATGGAATAGTTCTTTTATTCTGAACTGGTTTTTAAAAGTGTATATTTTAAATGACAAAATCCCATTTGCTTTTTCCTTTTTTTTTTTTGTCTTTTTTCGTGTCCGGCAACGGATTGCAACCCTCAGTGTTGCGCCC